AAGAAGGGCGTACTCTTTTCCAACAAGGGTTGAAATGGATTCCTCGTAATGGCAATGCTATTAGCTTCTGGAATGATTATTGGTGTGGCGATCGACCATTGTCTGAGGTCTTAGCTGGTCCACACCTTCCTCATTCAAATTCTCTTTCGCTTTCTCATGCTCTGGAAAGCTCCTCCCTTCATACCATATCTTACCACCTTCCCCAGATCATTTGGGATCAGATTAGAGCTATACCTTTGTCCCTTGAAAATCTGGATACTGATATTTTTACTTGGGCTCATGGCCAAGGCGGAAACTTCTCCTCATCTTCGGCCTACTGTTTGTTGCTTGAGCTTCCTTCTAAAGGTGTCAATGAATGGAACTGGGTTTGGAAGACTAACACCTTACCAAAAATTCAACATTTCCTCTGGCTCCTCTCCCATAAGAGATTAAAATCTCTTAACTTTCTTCAACGCCTGGGTATATGTTCATCCTCTATATGCCCCAGATGCCAAAGTTATGATGAGACCATCGACCATATCTTCAGGACCTGCTCCAGCTCTGTTTCTTTGTGGAATGACATTCTCCCTGGAGCTATAGTGTCTAATGATGACACTCCATTTCAGCAATGGTTACGTAATAATTCGGCACGTTCCGACGATGCTCTGACCACTCTTGTTGCATGGGGCACACTTTTTTCCTTTATTATCTGGGGAATCTGGATTTTCAGAAATCATGTCTTATACCGACATGAGAATATTAACACACAAACCTTTTATAACTCTATCCGCTTTAGGGCCATTGAATTTTGGTCCTCTCACCAGATTCCCCAAAGCCTCCACCAAAGAACTCACGGGATGTTTGCTTGGTCTAAACCGCACTTTCCCACCATCAAGCTTAACTCCAATGGTTCCTCCATTGGAAACCCAGGTTTATCTGGGTTTGGGGGTATCTTTAGGGACTCTCTAGGCAATTGGGTTCTTGGTTATGCTAGGAATATTGGTTTCTCTTCCCCTCTTGCTGCTGAGTTATGGGCCATAAGAGATGGTCTTGTTTTGGCCATCCAAAGGGGCTTCCATAATTTAATTGTGGAAAGTGACTCAAAGGTTGCTGTCCTTCTTCTCACGAAAGGTTGTGTTTCCACTCACCCTCACAGCACTTTAATTCTTGATTGCAGGATGCTCATGCAGAAAATTCATCAGATACACTTGGTCAACATCGTACGTGAACGCAATATGTGTGCAGATTAGCTGGCAAAAATGGGGATGTCGCTTTCTTCTTCTTTTTGTATTTTTGAATTTTGTCCACCAGCTGTTGCTGGTTTATGCCTTGCGGATGCCTATGGGGTTCAGTATGTTAGACCCCCTTGATCCTTTGTAGCTGTATCTTCCCCCTTTTACCAAAAAAAAAAAATGTTAAATCCCTGACCACGTAAGCATGACATGACAATATTTTGCCATCCAAGCAACCAAGCGGGGTGTGTGCTCAACGGCAGTTAAGTCATGCCAGCAAAATCCCAAACGGCAGTTAAGTTGGCGTAAGAAGAAGGGCTTACTTGCTTTGATCCCAGAGTTTAAGGGCTTAACTGCATCAATTAAAGTCTAGGGGCTTAATTGTGATTCTAGGGTTCGTTCAGGGGCTTAACATATGGTTTTGCCTAAAAGAAGTTTGAGTCAATTTCAATTAACTTTTTGAGGTTATCAGGAGCTGTCCGTTTCAATTAACTTTTTGAAATTTTCGTAAGGGTATTCATATGCCTTAATGAATTATTCATGTGACTCGCTTGACAAGATAATATAATTTGATTGTCTAATCAGGTGATGATTTTAGGAATGAAGGATTGGGTGCGAGCATGTGTACTGTAGTTACCATGCAACTATGCATTTGGGAGGCATTAAACTTACACCATATCTCGGTGATTTAGAAATTGCCCAATAGTACATCCAAAATTATTGACCTTAGACCTATTCTTACACTATTTCCCTCCAAATTCATTCACTTATGAAAGATGTATGCGAAGGTGGTAAGGTTTATATGTAATTGTTTAAGAAAACATAATGAAATATCATATAATAAAAATCAAAAGATGTAGCTAATGAAAAAACACATGGTATGAAGTCATGCCGTTATTGCAATAACTAAAGTAAAAATTTGTGACACGTAGTCATGTTTTTATAGTTGTAGCTGAAATGAAAATACATGACATGCAGTTATGTTTTGATGGCCGAAGTCAAAGTAAAAATGCATGACACGTAATCATGTCTTTATGACCGTAGCCGATGTGGAAATGCATGACATGTAGTCATACCTCTATGGCTATAGCTGAAGTGAAAATGCATGATACCTAATCATGTAGAAGTGCAACACTTGAAATAATAAGAAATGTATTGGAGTAAACAGAAAGACTTCGACAGGACCCACTAGGGCGCATGCAATAAGCTTGAAGAAAAGTTTGTATGTGATATGACAGTTGTCCTTGAAGGACGTGTGTAATAAATATTAGTTGTAAAAAGTAACTATCATAGTTCAAAGAACGCAACCAAAACAAACTATCGAATTCAAAAGGATTCCATTAGGAATTAACCATCGAATTCAAAACGGTGTTATTATGGCCGTTAGATGAAATTAATCATGGCCATTAAGATCAGTACATGTATCCGTATATACATAGTTAGACTTGTGTAAATTTTTATTATTTTGTCGTATTTACTATCGAAGTACTACCAACATTTTAGCAAGTCTAATACAATTTTCGAAGGCCGGTGTGTAGTTTTGTTGGAATCAATGCCAAGTTTTGCGTTACCAAGATCAGGTAACTTATAAGTTTTGTTGATTTTAATATTAGGGAAGAGCTTTATTCTCCTCTCACCCTTTCTAATTCAAATCTAACTCCTTTGAAAGAGGTTAGGTTTAGAAGTGAGAGAAACATAAAGCATGAGTTAGAGTTTATTGAAGATTTTGATTATATCCCACCTTCTACTTTGTGTAGTGAAAGCTACGAAATAGAAGATATGTCATCAGAAGTTAAACTGTGTGTTAGGAGGAGGGAGAAGGTTAGGGTGATGGAACATGAGGAAGTAAGCTTAGGGACTAATTTGTCTGGGTCAGAAAGACTAGTGGGAGAAATGGGAGGGAGAAAAGGTGGTTGAAAGAGAAGAAATTCCTTTAAACCTTTTGGAAGCTAGGGGGTGAGTGTGAGAGGTGTTATGACGTAGAGGCAAACATTGTGTCTAAAGTGATGGGGTATGAGACTGAATGGCCAGGTAAGGAGAGTCTAATTCACATAGTTGAAACGTATGATCTCCCTTCTCAAGTTTTGATTAGGTTGGCCGAAGAGGAAGAGAGGGCGTGTTTGGCACCCAAGGATCATTAGATGCCCATTTATGCTTTATTGGCAGGGCTAAGGTTTCTTATCCTTGAACTCCTTGTTGGGTTGTTGTTAGAGTACAGATAAGTTTAACACAACTAGCCCCAAATGCCATAAGGGTAGTGAAAGATTTTTTAGTATATTGTCGAGCTTGGGGTGTTAGAGTCCCCATTGTAAATATGTTTAAACATTTTTTTTTTTTGTTATAAAGGGTGGGAGTAATAAGGAGAAATGTTGCTTTTACTTTACCCCCGAATGTCCAATAAGGAGAAGAGAAATTTATGTAGTGCAGGGCCTTCATCCATTAAGGGATGAACAGAAAATTTTTTCTTTGTTGATGACACTGAGTGGGGGAGGAGAGATGCAGAAGTGGAATTCCTGTCCACTTGGAAGGCAAAGAAGGCCAATAAGAATAAATATAGTTTGAATAAGGATAAGGAGGAGAAGGTAAAGAAGTTGGTGAAAGAGGGAGATGATGTTCTAGACATCATGTATCTTACCAGCTTAGATGTTGTGGAGGTGGCTAATCTTTACAGAGCAAGCTCTTTGAGTGAAGCTGTGTTTTTATTTGATATTGTATAGTTTGAAGTTAGGTTCTGACCTTTGTTTTTATCATTCTTGTAATTTTGCATCCAAGATGGATAAGTTTTTTTTTCTACAACTTAGGGGGTGGCAATTCCAAAGAAGCCACAAAAGAAGTCAAAGACTTCTACAACTACTGCAAGTCAAGGGGCAACTACAGTTCAAGAAAAGGGGCAGCCTTCTAGTACCTCACTCCAAGTTCTAGATATTGAGGTGTTGAGGCCAGAGCTCAAGCGGAAAGGAAGTGAAAGAGGTGGTCCTATTTAGAAGAGGATAAGGGTGAAAGAACATGAGGATAGGGAAGGTAGGGGGGATGAGATAATGGAGTTCATACCTCATCCTCCCCTAGTGGAGCTCGATCTTGAGCTCAGGGAGGTTAGGGTTATAACCCATAGAAAGGGAAGGCCCTTGTTATTGCTCCTTCGTAGCAAGTTAGCTTCTTCACAGCAAGTTAGCTTGTTTGACACAAAAAGCATAACAGCTGCAAAGAGATTTATAAACTCAACATTCCCTAAGGTGGATCATCATTGAGCTTGGGAAGAAGTGTTGAGCCTTGGTGGGGTTGGAATTGTTCGGCATGTCCTTGAGGTATGGCTGGATTTCATAAGCAAAGTTCTTCTTCTATTTATTTATCAATTTAGTTTCTTATTATTGTGAGTATTACAAGCTACAAACTTGGTAAATGAGCTATTGTAGGAGTTTTTTGAAACCCTCAAGGAACGTAACACTTTGGCGAAAGAAAATGAGGATTTAGGCAAAAAGAAGAAAGAGGTAAAGAAGGATCTGGCAGAGGCTATGCCAGAGCTCATGTGGCTTGAGAAAGAGAATGATTCTTTGAAGATGAAGCTCACGTTTGAGGAGAGGATGAAGAAGATTTGCGAAGAGAAGATAACAACATAAGAGAAGGAGATAAAAGGGATGAAGAAGGCTGCTACCGAGTTGAAGAAGAACGTGAACCTACTGGCACAATGCGATGGAGGATCACATTGTTGAGTTCCTAAAATCTAGCACTTTTGACAATATCGTCAATCTCAACCAGCTCTCCACAGTTATTTTGGCTTTCTCTGACTGCATGAAAAAGGTGAAAGCACAACATCTTGAACTGGATGTGATTGGTGTCACCTTCAAGGAGTAAGAAAGAGGAGTGGAGGAAAATGGTGAGAGCATGATGATTGACTTCTGTTCTGAAGTTGAGTTGAAACGGGATCACGACAATGAAGGTCGTACCATTTTTCCTCCGAACTCCGACTTCAAGTTTGTTGTAGTTTAGGAAGAACTAGAAGCTGGAAGTGCCGAGGTTAGAGGTGCTGAAGTTGGAGAGAACTAGCCAGAACAAAAAGTCAACCAATAACCTCCGCCAACAGAGTAGCAAGCCTTCTTCTCATTAAAGATTTCTTGTTTTGTTTTGAATTTGGAACAATATGTTTGAGTTGTTTTGTTTGGATTATTTTTTAATTTTTATATATTCATTTAATTGATACATTTTTGTATTTGATTTCATGTGTATTTAAAATAAAAAATGAATTGAAGAAATGAAATCACCTCAAATATGAAGTGAAATTCACATTAATGGAATATGAGTTAAAGAATTAATCTGAATAACAAATTCATCTCTGGTAGAAGAATCAAAAAATGTGAAGTAGAATTAGGCAAAATTCACTGAAGAAATTGAATTAAGGATAAAATTTCTTAAGATTGTTGACATTCTAGACTCTAGAAACTCTTTTTCCTTCGACGTCTTAGAGTATATAAGCACCTGGGTGTGGTATCTCAATCACTATGTAAGGGCTTTCCCAATTCGAGGCTAGTTTTCCGAACCATGTTTCAAACCTTGTAAGACCAACTTTGCTAAGAATGAGGTCACCAACTTGATATGTTCAAGGACAAACTCATCTGTTGTAGAAGTTGGCTAACTTCTACTTGTATAACAAAGTTTGAAGTTAGACTTCCTTTTTGACTTTAGCAAGTAGATCAAGGTTTTCCCGAAGCATATGTCCATTTCATCTTTCATTGAAATGGGTTACCTTGAACTTGGGACTCCTATTTCAATAGGAATGATTGCTTCAGTACCAAAGGCTAGGTGGTATGGTGTTTCACCTATTTCATTAAATTACTATTTTAGTGTATGCTTTATATGTTTTATATATTTTACCTAAAATGAAGCAACAGGAATAGAAATAAAGTAGTATGAAAATAAAGAGGGTTAGGAAATGGTACATGAGGTAGTTCGGCTCGTAGTTCTATATGTCAAAAGCACGTTGTTGAGCTCATTTGCCCACATGACCTTATGTTGCTCCAACCTTGGTTATATTCCCTCTAGAATAGCTTTATTGATGGATTCCACCATATTATTGGACTCTCGTGGTATACCGAGGTAAATTGTAATTTGATTCCATAACTAGAGCAAAAATCTCTAAATGAGGTGCAGTTAAATTGGGTTCTGTTGTCAACGACAATTTGATTTGGGATTCCATAT